GTTATGACAGGGCCACGTGGCTAGCACTTGAGAGTGGCCTCAAGGAGCTGAGAGCCACTTCAGCAAGATAAAAAGGATCGAATTCCAACCAAATGAGGACATAACAATGTTAAGAAGACCCCAAGCCTCAGATGAGACCACAACCTTGGCAACACCCTAATTTCAGCCGAGTGAGACTCTGAGGGTAACACATTTGTGTTGTTAAAGCTGTTAAACTTGTGGCAATCTGTTATGCTGCTGGAGAAAACTAACACAAGGGCCACGGTCTGAGACAACCAACTCTCAGGGAGCAGGGACGAGAGGCAGGGCAAGCAGTGAGGAGGTAGTGAAACAATAAGTTGAGTCAGGAAAGTGTTTCTAAGAGGCATCATCAGACTGCACAGAGAGACACTGCAAAGTCTAAGAAGCCAGATAAAGAGAAAGCGGGTAGCGGGAAGGCAGAGGCTCCTCTTTCCAGGAACCATACTGAGAGAGGAGAGCACGGGCTGAACATGGGAGAGAAGATGGGATCCAAGGTGCGGCCTTCTTCGTTCAATGGGAAATATTATATTCATTTATTGATGAGACTGATTCAGTAGTGGGTGGGGGGAGAGGAGTAATTTATGATTATCTGTAAGGGAATAAATATCTATCTCTTCTCTACACTATTTGAGGTATTTCTCAAGTGAGAACAAAGCCAAAAAAGCTATTTATTCTGCGGTACTAAGCTTCTTAGGTTTCACTTTAAAGAAACTTCCTTTAACAATATTAATCCCAAGATTTCTTAAATTTCAGAATAAAACCATTATCTCTCTCTCTCTTAAAAAAAAAGTCTTGAAGATACAGTATTGGAAACGTTTTTCCTTTTTATTTATGTTAGGAGAACGGAGGATGCTGATCATCACAGCTGCTGGGCTGTGACAGCGCTGGTAGGTGAGTAATGAATTGCTTGAGATGAGGAGAGACAAACCCAAGACAATGTGCTTCCAGTAGGGCTCAGCTGCTTACAAGATAAATACCCCTCTGCCACTCCACCCGATGATTAACTGTCCTGCCCGGCTGTGTCCAGCCCAGCGGCCTCTCTGATCCCTGCAGATAGTGACCAAATTCCACAACCCCACAAACACCATCCCCTCCGCCTAGGGGGACCACTCCCTTCCTTTTTTATTCTGCGAGAGGAGTTTATACAGAACTCACTCCATGAAGACCTGCTACGTACCCACTGTTGATGGTAACTTTTCCACCGACAAAACTTTGGCATAACTAAGTTTTAATTATCTCTTAGATGCTTTTAATTTCAGTAGAAATCTCTACTCTAAATGGAAAAAGAGTTTCAAGAACAAAGAGATTAGGGAATAAAAGGTATGCACATGGAAGAAGAAGTGAAACTGTTTCAGTTTGTTTGAATAGATGGGAACACAGAGGGAAGGCCATCAGCACGGCAAAGACAGAGGCAGCACTTTTCATATACTGGGGTGAGAGGGAACACTGGCTTGGCTGCCACTGATGTTTCCTTAGGAGAAGCAGTGGGAAGTAAGGCTGGCCGGTAAAGGGGTTTGTGGGAGACAGAATCATGGTCCTCCAAAAGATGCCCACGTTCTAACCCTTGGAACCTGTGAATGCATTACCTCACAGGTGTGATTAAATTAGGTATCTTGAAATGGGAAGACTATCCTGAATTATCTAGGGAAGCTCCATGTAGTCTCATGGGGGAGGCAGAAGTCCCCAAGTCAGAGAGAGGAGACGTGATGACGGGAGATGTGATGGTGGAAGCAGAAGTTGAAGTGATATGGCTGCTGGCTTTGAAGACAGAAGAAAGCCATGAGCCACAAAATGCGGCAGCCCCTAGCACTCCCACTGTTCCCATGCTAAAAATGGGGAACTAGAAGCACCCAGACACCACATGACTTACTACAAGGACTTAAGAGGTAAGGGCAGGCTCAGGAACATTCTGCCGCCAGAGCTTCCACACCAATTTCTACACCATAATTTCCACCATGTGGGAACTCAGCACATCAGGACTTGTTTCATTAAAAATGCAAGAAAAGAAATGAAGGAAAATAGCAATGGTATTAGCATAGCAGAAATATACATGGGTAACAATGGGTTATTTCCTCTGTCCCCAAACTTTCTGCAAGATTTAGCTTTATAATCTAAAAAGCTAAGCTTACTTGAGGGGAGGAAAATAAACACATAGAAAAAAAAAACTCCTGAAATTTTCCAAAATTTGGAAAGAAATCTTACGAAAAGTGTAAACAAAATACTGTTTTCATACTTAAAATATCAAAAACTATAAAAGTTTGGGAGAAGTAATAATCATTAAGAACTTTCTTTAGACAACCAGATGAACTGTCATATGGGTGATGGTTTTAGTTTCTGCCTCAAAAGGAGCCTGACAATAAGCCAGGAGGCATTTTTGTGTGTTTGTGGTACATGGAGACGAGCCACGTATCTGTCATTCTAAAGGTGCAAAGCACATGTTGATAGTTCATTTATTATTTAGGAAGTAACTTGGGGACATAGGCTGATCACTTTTAACAAGTGAGAAATACAATGTAAAGTATAAGGGGAATCAAGACCCTGGCAACAGAGAAAACTGCTTCCACTACAGAAATAGTTGAATATTAAAGAAAACTAAATGAGAAAAGATTTAACTGCATTTAAAGGGAAACTATTCTATATAAAAACAGAACATTCAAAGTACATCACAAAATTCAAATATAGAAATTGGGGTACAAAAGTTCTAATGAAAGATATAGTTGTACAATGTGGCAGCAGTGATCAGTAAAGCCTGTGTATTCCGATTAACTTTTTGCCAATTTCAATCCTTAACACACAACTGTATAGTCAAGATCATAGATTTATGTTTATTTTTACACTCTGCCATTATTGGTACTTCACTGTCTTTTGTAATTACCTTTTTGCCAAATCTAATACATATATAACTAGGGCAAGTAAAGGAGACTCTCGCAGCCACTTTCTGCTCTATAATACGTAAGATTAGAGCTTCCCAACTAAAACTCTGCCCCAATGTTATTTTTTTCTCTGTGTGCCTGTAAGAGTGTTTTAACAAAGCTGCTAAAAACATGCAAAATTGAGAGATTTGAGAATTCCTACTCTCTTAATTCTAGTAGTCCTGATGATATAATAGTAAGAATAGCTAAAATTATTAAGAGAACTTCAGATAATGAGAGAAGAGTCCTAGAAAATCTAGGCATTTTTTCTGACCATGAGAATCTAAGAATGCCTGTCATCACTGGGGAGAGGGTCCTCTTCTGCAGAAGAAAATAAATCGCATTAGAGCAAGAGAGTAGGATGACTGACCCTCCACTTGGAAGAAGCACGGGCAGCCTCTTGCTCAGGGTGGGCCTAATTGGCAGTCCCCCAGCTGTGCCTCGTGTGGAGTTGGTCCCCAAGTACCTGGTGGGGCCAGCGGGGCTGTGTCAGGGTCATGGAGACCTGGCTGGTTAAGAAGGGGGCTTGGATGTGACAGGCTGCCTAGTCCAGACTCTGGTTGTCAGAGGCTGGGCTGGGGGAGAAGTTCTGATCTTAATTTCACTGTTTGGACTTATTTCATGAGGTACCCAGCAGGAATTTCTCTAGAATCCATTTCCTCGAGAAACAAGTAAACCGAAACAGAATTCCTTGAGAAGGAAGTGAGACCCAGACTCCAAGTTTGTTTCTCTCTGAGGCCCCTGGTAGGGATAGGGAGGTAGGGGGGCCTTCGTAAAGTCAGGTGGCAACACCCAGCCTAAATCTGTGCTCACTTGTGTTGTTTCTTTCGGAAGTAAACCTGGATGTAACACAAATTTAACTGGAAAATGCAATGGAAATTATCCCTTCCCATTCTAATGGAAAAGTGTACAGATAAGTGACAGCTCCTCTTTATGAGAAAACAGAGGGAAACAGGCTCACCAACTTCTCCATATAACCTGTTAAAATTTTACTCACTACTCTATTCTCCCGACTAGTAAGAAGTGGAGAAATTTTAAACTTAAAACATGCTAAAGAGCTTTTAATACAAAGTACACTATCACATCATTTATGCACTGAAGTTTCCCAGAAAATTTCAGAGATCCTTAATGAAATTGAAGGAATAGATTCTTTCTGAAGAATCTTCTCATCTAACTTCTTACCTAACAAAGTAACAAAAGAGAAGAAACTGAATTCTGCCATACATTTCATATGTGTATACATATATATATATTCATACATATGAAGTCTACACACACACACACACGTATATACACAGATATGAATATGTATGTACATGAAAGAAAAACGGTAAAACTGCCTTAACTCATATATCGTGATTTTTCTGGGCAATTTCATGAAGTATTTCTAGTTATTAAGGTGATCTCACCACCCCAATAATTTTTAACTTTCAAAACATTAAATTTTGGTAGAAAATAAAAAATACTCTCTCTTCTACTCTATATTGACCATTTCTCCCAAAACCCAGATACTCCTTTTGTGTTCTTGTTTCTTTTATTGGAGACTTTCACTAAAATGGATCTGAGAACTGAAATGCTAGCCTTGTAAAGTGGCCTTTACAAATCAAAAGAAAGTTATGAGCCCCCTTCACATGATCCTCTAACAGTCCTTAATTACACATAACATGTGTCTTATCTTTTCCAGGTACATGTAAGTCTAAGTTGATTTTTAATCCATTTCTTCCCAAAAAATGATCATTTTTTTTTCCTTTTTGTAAAGCACATTAAGTGTATTTTATGGAGAAAATAGGGTCTGGGTCTGGGTCTGGGTCTTATTCCTTCTGAACCTGTGATATGTACACTACAAACAGTCTGATGTCACAATCTATTATGTAAAACATCTTAATAGAAAACCCACCTACTCAGAAAGTCCACCTTGAAAGGACTGACAGTTTATTTTTAAAGGAAACTTACTTCTTGATAAAAGAAATCCTACTGTTCCAAGAACTATTAAAGCTTTTAGGAACCACAGAAAGCAGTCTTAACGTTATACCATCTGCCATAAAGACAAAAGGGGAAAAAAGTTACCTTTTTGTGCAGGGCATGAAATTCGCTGTACCTTTTTTCAACAAAATGTTTTCTTCCATTCATTAGCACTTCTATCTTAAACACCTAAGGAAAAAATTTAAAAAGATTAATTTCACCAGTTCAAAACCCTCAATTGTCTGATGTGGTAAGTTTGTGACCATGATGTATTTCATCCCTTTAATTACAGTAGCTGATCCCCCAAAACCCAGAAGGCTCAGGAGACCCTGGCCCAACAGCACTGATTAATGAGCCCTCGAACCAAATGCTCACTAATAAACGGCAGTATCCCAGCAAACGTATCTAAAAACAGTGGAAACGTAAATGTGTTAAAGTGCTCCTTAACTTTTTAATCAGAGAACATTCTTCTCCTAAAATTAAATCACCAAATGTATATGATGGCACTGAAATAACACTGTGATGCCAAGGTGACAGTCTGGCTAAAATCACATTCCATTATGGGTATTTCAATGAAAGGAGTGCTTTGTCATCTGTAAGATGCAAACAGTAGTGCATTTTAGGTTAATTTCTTCCTAACCTGCATATTCATCTCCAGTCTCAGCTGGGCTTAATTCTGCTGTTTGCAAAACAGGGAAAATGTAGTAAGGGTTCATTTTCCCTGCATGATATGAGTGACAGCTTGTGCTCCTCCCTCCAGAAGGTTGAAAGGCCAGATGAAAAGGCTCTCTGGGTGCACTAATTAGTAGGCACTAACATGACACTTTCTTGATTCTTAGGTCAGTGGGTCAAGACAGGGAACAAGGGATGAGAAATATGATTAGATGCTCATGAAAACACAGTGCTAAGGTGAGGCAGGGAAGGATGCTTGGCAGAAGAAAGGTGCTCTGTTATTTCCAAGAGTTTGTCTCTGACTCCTGTTTCGCTGAGCAAGAGTGTCAACACCAAGATGAAGGAGAACTGTTCCATTACTTAGTAATAAGCCTGGTTTCTCATTTCAATTGGCCTTTTGAAGAAAACAGAAGTTGAGGTCACATGACACTATAGAGTGTTAAAAGCTTGCTTACTTTAACCCTAGAAAGAATTACTTAAAATTAGCATAGGAGCTACAAGGTCACATACCTTCATCGTGAAAACAGAGCCCTGTGATTCTATATTTCTGCCTTATATGTAAATATAACTTTTGGAAAGCCAGAAATTATGTCATCAAACATAAAATGTGTTTATACTTTTGTCCTTCTTTGGATTAGAAACAAAATCCTCTGTACCGTGACTCAGTTTAAGAAACCTGCTTTTTAAAGCTCTAAACTGTTCTTAGAAACAATGAACAGTACATATATGTAAATTTTAAAACGGTTTTATCTCTCAATGAGTTGCTCTTCCAAAAATAAACTGTTTACATAAAAATTTTTTAAATGGTCAAACATAAAAAAAAAGATAAATTAAAAAAAGAAACCTGCTTTTATTAAATAAGTGGTAAATTTTTACCAATTTAATCAACTTTTTTCAACAAATCACCCTAAAAAATACTTTTCTTTGGTGAATTAGGGAAAGTATTTTCTTCTCAAAACATATGCACGTGCTTCAAATTCTCAGACACATGTACATTTTTTTTTAGACAAAAATTGTTTACTAATTCACTAAAGAAAATTCTTCTTCAAAGACCCTTCAAAGCCAGGAATACAATGAGGAAAGCACCCTAAGAAACAAAAACAAAAGAAGCACAGCTTCAACTTAGGGGCTTGGTTAATAGGCTACAGAGCCCCCTTCTTTCTGTGTTAGGTCCCAGATTTAAATCAGGACAATGTGGGAGCAATGGAAGTAGTTTCCATCTGCTGTGCTGCATGAAACAACTGAAATTATGTTCTGAGTCCAGTTACTTGAGACTCCATCACCACTTTAATTGGCATGTTTGCTGGAGAATCACAGAAGGAGAAAGTTGAAGACTCACTAAGGGTCAACCTACCAGGTCACCCTTCAGGTGCCCCGTCCTGAAGGCCAGGGATGAGACACACTACACAGAGGCTGCTGCACGGAATGTCACCCCTTCTATCGATCACGTTTCCATTACCAAGTTCCACAGTTACTTTACACAATCACTAAAATTCACTTGGGGATCTAGGGGGGTGGGGTTATACACACACATACACACATTATGTTGCCATTTAAAAAATGCATAATATACCTAATGTTGATGAGACTTTTTTCTTTTAAATTCAAAATCACAGCTAATTACAGAAGAACAATCAATAAAAATGATCGGAACCTATTAGAAAAGATCTTCCATAACTAAATACATAAAGAAGGAACCACAAGGAGATGGGTAGGAGGGGTGGACTCATGATATAATCAAATCCATGCCCTTGGGTGGGTGACCCACAAACTGGAGAACTGTTATATTGCAGAGGTTCTCCCAAAGGAGTGAGAGTTCTGAGCCCCACATCAGGCTCCCCAGCCCAGGTGTTTTGCACTAGGAAGAACAGCCCCCAAATTTTTGGGTTTGAAGGCCAGGGGGATTGCAGGAGCTCCACAGGACTGGAAGAAATAGACTCCACTCTTAAAGGATGCATGTGGAATCTCACACCCACTGGGACCAACCAAGGCTCTTGTTCAAATTCAATGGAGAAATAAAAAGCTTTACAGACACGGAAAATCTAAAAGAGTTCAGCACCACTGGGCCAGCTTAACAACAAATGCTAAAAGAATTTCTCTAGATAGTAAAGAAAAGGCCACAATGAGAAACAAGGACATTAAGAAATGGAAAATCTCACCAGTAAAGGCAAACATACAGTAAAGGTAGAAAATCTTCCACATACAAACTAGTAGGAGTGTTTAAAGACAAAAGCAATAAAATCATCTGTATCCACAATAAGCAGTTAAGGGATACACAAAACAATTAGATACAAAATATGATCTGAAGACGATGGGACCAACAAGGGCTTAATTTCCAAAATATAAAAACAGCTCATACAACTCAATAACAAAAAGAACAACCAACCCAATCAAAAAATAGGCAGAAGACTTAAACAGACATTTCTCCAAAGAAGACATCCAGATGGCCCATAAGAAAAGATGCTCAACATTGCTAATTGTTAGAGAAATGCAAATCAAAACTACAATGATTTGTTACCACACATTAGTCAGAATGGCCATTATTATAAAGTCTACAAATAATAAATGTTGGAGAGAGTGTGGAGAAAAGGGAACCCTCCTACACTCTTGGTGGGAATGTTGTTTGGTGCAGCCATTATGGCAAACAGAATGGAGATTCCTTAAAAAACTAAAAACAGACTTACCATATGATCCAGCAATTCCTCTCCTGGGCATATATCTGGAAAAAACTCTTAATTCTAAAAGATGCATGCACCCCAATATTCATAGCAGTACTATCTACAATAGCCAAGATATGGAAGCAACTAAAATGACTATCCACAGATAAATGGATAAAGAAGATGTGGTGTACATATACAATGGAATATATAATTCAGCCATAAAAGAATGAAATAATGCCATTTGCAGCAAAGTGGATGAACCCTGAGATGATGATACTAAGTAAGTCAAACAGAGATTGACAAACATCACATAATATCACTTATATGTGGAATCTAAACAAACAAACAAACAAAAAGATACAATGAACTTATTTACAAACCAGAAACAGACTCATAGACATAGAAAACAAACTTTGGTTACCAAAGGGGAAGGCAGGGGAGGATAAATTAGGAGTTTGGGATTAATATATACACACTACTATAAAAGAGATAAACAACAAGGACCTACTATATATCACAGGGAACAATAGTCAATATCTTGTAATAACCTATAATGGAAAATAATCTGAAAAAGAATGTGTATACGTATAACTGAATCACTTTGCTGTACACCAGTTTCTAAGTGTGGTTTGATTACATGCTTTTTTTCCTTTTCGATTATATCTCTGAAGTTAAACTTCTGTAAGTCAATGAAAAAATATTTTAAAATGTGGGTTTATATTCACTTTTTCAAGAATGGACCTAAAAAACAAATAAGCTTAAGCTAAAGAAGAACTTAACCCATATTTCAAGTTGAATGATCTGTCTTCCGAAGCTTATACCTTACAAAGTTATTCACTTTCAATCAAAGCAAAAAAATTTTTTCCCTGTGTCTAATAACTTTTAAGTGCCTTCCAAATACAGATGGAGATTCCATACACAAATAAAGTTTTAAGTCCAGTGTTACAAGTAGTTTGGATCACTAAAGTGTTATGCTAAGAATCCGATACCCATGAAGGTACACTTTTGGTTGTGGAGAAGATGCTAACAACTTTTTTCTCATATCTTTGAAAACATCTAAATTTCAGAAAATTCTAAATGTTTTTAAAAGAAAAATACATTCCTTCAAATAAACCATTGCTTAAAGAAAGAGGACAATTCTCTAAATAATTACCACTATAGAAGAGCTGTGTGAGAGTTGGGTATGATTAAATTTATGTGTGTACCTATTTTTTTAATATAATTCTTCTTTGCAAAGAAAATTCATGATACCAGAAAGGACCCAAAATGATTAAAATCAGCGATAAAAGAACAACAATAACAACAAAAATTAGAGCAAGAGCAAAAATCAAAGACAAAGGAAACCTAAGTTTCCTAAGCTGCAAAGATCAAAAGGGTTTACTGTCTCTCAGGGAAAATAATACACCTAATACTCTGGATTTTTTAAAATCACAATAATGAAAAAGAGAGTAGTGCCAATATCCTGATGGAAAAAAGCAGGAACAAAGATCGGGATGATCCCCAACTTTTTCTATGCCACACTAAATGCCTCTCCTCCCAAAAAAGTAGAGCAATGTCTGCAGAGTTTTATAATCATCCAAATTATTATCCACATGTAAAGACAACAAAAAGGCAATCTCAGTTGTAGGCAAACTCAGAAAATAACCCACACATTTACTTTGGGAAAAAAATTTTCTTCAGATGTAGAATTGTTAAAATTTAGTAGAACTCAGGGGGAAGGGTAGAGCTCAGTGGTAGAGAACATGCTTATTAGCACACACAAGGTCCTGTGTTCAATCCCCAGGACCTCCATAAAAACAAACAAATGAACAAACAAACAAACAAACCTAATTACTACCCCCCCAAATTAAGAACTCA